GGTCAAGATCCCCACCCCTAAACCATATATATTCTGGTTAGTCATGCCAAGATGATTTGAATGATAAACAGGGTTAGTTCCCAGGGGTCAGGATGACCCCCTGCCATTTGAGAAAGTTCTAATATCTTGTAAGTGGTCAAGATCCCCACCCCTAAACCATATATATTCTGGTTTGTCATGCCAAGATGATTTGAAAGATTAACAGGGTTAGTCCCCAGGGGTCGTCCCGACCCCCTGCCATTTAAAAAAGTTCTAATATCTTGTAAGTAGTCAGGATCCCTACCCCTAAACCATATATATGCTGGTTTGTCATGCCAAGATGATTTAAATGATAAACATGGTAAGACCGAAGGGGTCATCCCCGCCCCCAGTCATTTGAATATGTTCAAATATCTTGTTAATGGTCGAGATCCCCACCCCTAAACCATACATATACTTGTTTGTCATGTCATGAAGATTTGAATGATATATAGGAAAGGTCCCCAGGGGTTTCCCCCACCCCGAATGTTATAATATCTTGTAAATGGTTGAGATCCCCACCCCTAAACCATATATATTCCTGTTAGCCATGTTCCAAAGATTTGAATAATATATAGGGTCAGTCCCCAGGGGTTCTCCCAACCCCAAATGTTCTAATATCTTGTAAATGGTCGAGATCCCCACCCCTAAACCATATATATTCCTGATCGTCATGTCACAAAGATTTGAATGATATATAGGGTCAGTCCCCAGGGGTCATCCCAATCCAAATGTTCTAATATCTTGTAAATGGTCGAGATCCCCACCCCTAAACCATATATATTCCTGTTCGTCATTTCACATAGATTTGAATGACATGCAGGGTCAGTCCCTAGGCGTCACTAATGCATATCACTTTACTGGACCAAACCAATTTGTACTGGACTTTGCCCAATGTCAGGCGACCATAGGAATGATGAATTATGGGAGCTTCGTTAGGGAGACTTCGTAACAGCATCCTGTTACAATCATTTCTTGTTCTCTTAGCTATAGCGGGTTTTGATAAAGATAATAACAGGTGTTAAATATGAGCTGAGTCTGATAGAAATTGACCTTATGTAAATGAATATTAATACACCTGTTAACTTATTTCGGGTTGCCAAATTCTCTACGCAAAGTCTGTAACTGTTTGAAAATTGATTTGATAAAAAAAAAACACAAAATAGTCCACAATTTATCTTTTGTTTCGTATTTGAATGTTTCAAAACCAGACAGTCTTACATGTGTTATGCATGTACATGTATACGTGCACTTGCATATAAGTTTGATTTCTATCCGACGCAGCTCATATCTTGTTATTCCTCCTGCAAACAAAGTTTGGAGATATATAGGCATACTTGTCTGCCTCAACATCTGTCTGTCCAGACCAACTTCTTTATCATTTGTTGATCCACTTCAAAATTTGTAGAAAAAAAAGATAATGATATGCAACATTACCATGTGAAGAAATTTTATAATGTTTAGTTTATCCTGAATTATACCCCTTTCATCTCAGATATCTTAACTCTTTCCAGAACGAACCTTGTCATTGCAACTCTTCCTTCATGGTTTATTGCATCTTCATGAACAAATTTGTACATTATTTAAGAATTGAATGCTTCTTTTTGTAATTTTATTGGGGTGTAAAAGTGTTGACCGAAGCACATTTTGTATGAAGCGCGGATGAGCACGATCAACACTTTTACAACCCTATAAAATTACTAATTCCTAATGGACTGACCAATATTTATTTTAGTAAAGTCACAGGAGCATGTCAGTAATCTTCATAATTATGTATGAAGCTAGAGAAATAACTTATATTGATTGTTGTTTGCTTTGTGTCCAATGGCGAATATTTCATGAATGTCCTGGATGATGAACAATAAATGCAATAAGTAAGTCCTGTAGTAGAAGCCGACCAGAATGAAGGGCAAGACATTCAAAATGCAGATGGAAAATAAGGGTATATTGGATAGGGAAACACATTTAGCCTTACAACAGGTCACCTTCGGATCCCTCAAAGCTCGGAGGTCCACTTACTATATACAAAGTGATAGGACATGCCGCTGTAAATATATCAGAAATATATTATATGGTCAATAAAGTTCCCATTACTTACAAAAGCCCTGGATTTTTTTCAAAGCCGAAAGTCTCCCCGTAAGTAAACATTACAAAAGGAATATACATACAATTCCCTATTTAGCGGAGTGTTTTTATCAGATATTTTGGTCACACTTTTTATTAGAAAAGCAACATATTGCAAGGTTGTCGATTGCCTTATATTTATAGGATCATGGTATATGGTATTTCTAATATTCCAGTGGGAGTGCTGTCTTTTCCATTTCGTTTTGCTCAAATGAAAAACCAGACACATCTAATACCGGATAATGGGGTGTCGGACTATTAAAGTGTCAGACAAATGGGGGTATCGGAATATTGGGGCGACCTCGAATTAACACCATTATTTAAATTCGATGATCTGTATGTTTCAAATATGTTTGCTAACAATTCTTGTTTAATTTTCGTTAACATTGTACACTCGATTGATACATGCTTCTTGTTTACCTGTAATCTTAATATCAAGTTTTATTTTTCTTTGTCAATATGTGGTACTGTATTAGTATCATGCTGCTTCAGGCAAAGCGTTATATTATCAGACGAAATATAATTCTATCTTATTCTACAGTTTGAAAAAGGTACACAAATGAACTTGATTACTGTCCTTACGTTGAGTAAAATTTGTAATCAAAAGTAAGGACCACCAGCGTTTTTCTTTTACTTAGCTAGTGAAAAATGTCATTATCTTTAAAATGGTCGTATCTCTACACATACAAATATGGTTCAGTCGTAAATAATGGATCGAAGATATTAACCTATGTGATGAATGAATCAGCAATAGACATCAGTAAGACAAAACCAAACAAACCCATTTCATAGCAACAGAAAAAGCAAGATATGCAGTTCAGTAATTGTCTTGTCTATCATTTTGTTCCTTGATTATCAAATTAACAGTACTTAGTAATATAAAAGTGTGATCATTTGCAATTTTTGTCATGGTTTATGTATTTACAGGAACATATATGAAGTTGTTACACAGGTCAGATTTCCTGATGTCAGTATATGTTTGCATAGTAATTTCACGAATAGAAGGTAAACATGGCTTTGAAAAACTGACCAATCGACTCAATGAACTACAATGCATTGTGAGCTTCTACGAGTTTACTACCACTTAAAACACGTGGAATTAGTGGGAAAACTATCAAATTATATAGTGTCTGGGACATTCATAACAAATATTTGTGTGCAGCAAATGTATTAAATGTAAAATATATAACATAATCTTCAATTTGCATGCTCAGATTTAAAAAAAAAAGTTTATTGGTTACACGATTCGACTTTCTTTTTCGCCTTTAAAAAGTAGTTGAACAGGTTTTGTCCATTGTTATGCATTGTACCTGTGCATTAATTTCACGTGAAATAGTGAAATTTCCAATGAAGTGACCAATGTCCAGTATAAAAATCATTCGAGCTCTTTGAAACCTGTCAAAACGGTTTGAAGGAATGGGTTACAGCCTCTCTCTATATATGCTCTTGGATTTTCTTGTATCCTTTATAATGTCATTCAAAAACACTGCTGCTTCGGAAAAAAAAATGTGTAATAAAAAGTGGGGACGGTAAATAGCTTAACATATTTTGTACACTTTTGTCCTTAGATGAAGTCCGTCTGTTGCCAATTTTATCCCAAAATGCCTTTATCAATAAAAGCGAAACCAGTCCATTACAGACTTACACCTGGCCATTATGAATGAGCCCCGCCATTCTGAACGAACAGGGCCTTTGTGGATTTTAAGTTGTTATCAATTTAAATACATTTTACGGGAAAAAAGTATTATGAAATTAAGAGCTCCAAAGAACAAATATCTCCTTTGACCCATACGAAAAGTTAATATCTTTTGATAAAATCTCTTTAGAATAAATGAAGATGGAACATAGATTAAAAGCCAAAATTCATTCAACATTAATTTTTCTTCCATGAAAGAGTTTTTTTGTGAGCAGGTGTATCTTTGATCACTAGATCACCTATTTAGATTTAAACCCCCGCATTCATTGTAAAGCGGATGTATATAGTCCTTTTTTGTATCCACGATTCCAACTTCCTTAACCACTTATCATAATGAAATGAAACCTCATATTCCTAACCATGCAATGCCATTTTGCACTTCATATTTTGTTTTTGGTCAAAATTATTTTTGGGGTTTCTATTTCCTAAAACATATGGGAACCCATATTGTATCCGCAACTCATCCTAAACCACTTATCATGATTTAATGAATTGTTTTTAGATTTGTTATCATATAAGGTCATTGTGAAACTTATATTTGGTTTAGGGTTAAAATACTTTATGGAATTCTATAGTAAATATCTCTTTTCAAGATAATGGAAAATCAATCTTTCTGAAAGTTATTTGTGTTTGTGGTTCATAGAGACAAAGTAATAAATACATACCTTTCCTCGATTTAAATGACCTTTTTAATCATTAAAGTAGATCCAATATCATTACATCAATTATGCGAAAAGCTGGGACATTTTTAGTGACCCCAACCGATATTTGACACACATTTAAGTGTTCCCCTTTTTTGCGAACCCACTCAAAATTCCAGGATCCTTCATTATTTATCTATCTGAATGAATTCAATGTTCATCTTATGGGTAATTGTGTTTTTCACTGTTGTTTCGTAGCTGTCTTGTGGACGAATATATATCTGAAATCATCGTTTAATCATCAATAATAGTAATGGCTATATTTCGGGTAATTCAAACCCTCGTTTCTTCACATAGAAACAACTGTTCGTTAATCTGAGCATGGAACGAATACTTTATATAAGAACTATAAATATAGATTCAAAATTTGAAAAAGTCAGCGAAATTGTTTATCACGCAATGCATGTACAAATGTGTTGTACTGTAAATCCTATATTAAAGGAGAGATTTTTTTTTTGTAGGATTATTAGATTGGACTGTTCCATTGTATAAAATTCGTCTGCAGAAAAATTATTCAGATATCATTACCAGTGTAAAGCATGATATAATAGTAGATCATTTGATATCATGTGCAGTATTGACAATTGGTGATTTTCAAAAGATAAATGCTTGTCCATCAGAAGAGCAAAGGAACAGGAAGTTAATGGACTCACTTTTGCATGGAAATGAGAAGGGATTTACTGAATTTCTCAGCGCTCTACGAAATGACTCAGTTTATGCAGATCTAGCAGATAAAATAGAGAACACAAACATTACAAGCACAGATAGATCAAACATTCAGAGTTGCTACAACGTCAATAAAAGGAAATATGAGCTGAATGTACAGGAGACAGCAACCAATCTTCCCAAAAAAACCAAAGAGAATTAGAAGTGAACAATTATTCAGAGTAATATCCTTTTGGGTAAAACTGTTGTTCATATCTAATTTTACTTATAACAAACTTTGTTTAAAATTACTTTTCGGAAATATGAGCTGAATGTACAGGAGACAGCAACCAATCTTCCCAAAAAAACCAAAGAGAATTAGAAGTGAACAATTATTCAGAGTAATATCCTTTTGGGTAAAACTGTTGTTCATATCTAATTTTACTTATAACAAACTTTGTTTAAAATTACTTTTCGGGTTAATAGTGTCAATTATATTCGTGATGTCCTAGTTTCATCACCAATGATATGTGTTTCAAAGTGACTTTGTCACCCTATTCATTTTTGTCGAGCCTTCGACTTTTGTCGAAAAAGCGAGACATAGCTATCCTACATTCCGTCTGCGTCGTCGTCGGCGGCGTCTACAAATATTCACTCTGTGGTTAAAGTTTTTGAAATTTTAATAACTTTCTTAAACTATCCTGGATTTCTACCAAACTTGGACAGAAGCTTGTTTATGATCATAAAATAGTATCCATAAGTAAATTTAAAAAAAAAAAAAAATCCTGTTTTTCCGTATTTTACTTATAAATGGACTTAGTTTTTCTGCCAGATAACATTACATTCACTCTGTGGTTAAAGTTTTTAAAATTTTAATAACTTTCTCAAACTATCCTGGATTTCTACCAAACTTGGACAGAAGCTTGTTTATGATCATTAGATAGTATCCAGAAGTAAATTTAAAAAAAAAAAAATCCTGTTTTTCCGTACTTTACTTATAAATGGACTTAGTTTTTCTGCCAGATAACATTACATTCACTCTGTGGTTAAAGTTTTAAAAATTTTAATAACTTTCTTAAACTATCCTGGATTTGTACCAAACATGGACAGAAGTTTGTTTATGATCAAAAGCTAGTATCTAGAAGGAAATTTTTATTAAAATTTTGTACTTGTTTATCCATATTTTACTTATAAATGGACTTAGTTTTTCTTCCAGTTAACATTACATACAGTCTGCAGTTAAATTTTTAAAACATTTATTAGATTCATAAACTATCCTGGATTTTCACCAAACTTGGACAGAAGCTTCTTACAATAAAAAAATTGTATCGAGAGGAATATTTTTATTAAATTTTTTCCTCATCTCATTTTTGTTGAGCCTGCGATTAACAGCAAAAGTAGTTGAGACATTGGGTTCTGCGGAACCCTTACAAATTTTTCAATAGCATTGACACAAGTTTTATAGCGACTTGAGTTTCACCAGTATCATCCAGATTACAATTCTATGTTAAAATCTAAATTTGAATTTAGCCTAGAAAATACCTATTTTGCCTTAAGAATTGAAAAGTCAGTTTAATTCAAAAGAAGTTTACCTATGAGGGTCTGGTTGAGATATAGTTTACAGAAAAAAGAATATTAGCCTTAAAAAATATTGAATAGAGAAACTGAACATAAGTCTTAAAGATATGAGAATAACGCTGTTGATCCAATTTCAGGTATTTTTTGTCTCGCCTGCGACGAAAGTCGCAGTATGCGAGACATAGGTATTACTATCCGGCGGCAGCGTAAACTATTTGTATATAGCTTTATATTTCAGAAGGTAGAAGACCTGGATGCTTCATATCTTGTATGTAGATACCTTGTGTTACGAAGTTTCCGTCAATCATATGTCCATTGTCCTTGAACTCATTTTCATGGTTCAGCGACTGCTTGAAAAAAAATTGAGTTTGTTTGTTATGTGAATTTCTCACTTATTATGAGTAGTAGGATAACTATATTTGGTATATGGGTTCCTTGCAACGTCTACATGTCCGTCCGACAGAGTTCACCTGACCTCGACCTCATTTAATGGATCAGTGATCAAGGTTAAAGTTACGTGATTAGGTCCGTTTCTCAAATACTATAAGCAGTAGGTCAACTATATTTTGTGTATGGAGTTATTGTTTTGGGCACATGTCTGTCTGGAAGGTATCATCTGACCTTGTCCTAATTTTTATGGTTCAATGGTCAATGTTAAGCTTTTGTGTTTTATTCTGTTTTTCAAATACTAATAGCAATAGGTCAGCTGTATTTGGTGTATGGAATAATTGTAAGGTGCACATGTCTGTCTGGCAGGTATCATCTGACCTTGATCTCATATTTATGGTTCATTGGTCAATGTTAATTTTTTGTGTTTTGGTCTGTTTTTCAATTAACATACGTAATAGGTCAACTATATTTGGTGTATAAAAAAATTGTAAGGTATAAAAATAAGAAGATGCAGTATGATTGCCAATGAGGTGTATATGTCTGTCTGACACATTTTATCTGACCTTGACCTCATTGTCATAGATTTTTAAAAATGTTAAGTTTCTGTAATGCTTTTTGTAAAACCTTTATCTTTAAGACTTTCAATATAAAATCAATGGCCAGTAAAGCAGGCGAGACATTTCAGCGTGTGCACTCTTGTGTTTATTTTGCTCTGTAACATATGATTTAGTTTGCCACTTTAGAAGCAATTTAAAATATTCTGCAAACATTGATCACATGATAAATGAATACCAGAACATGTTGTCAGTTGAAATGTTCTTATGAGAAAGAAGGAAGAAAGTAATAAAAGTATTTCTGTAAAATTGTATGAAAAGTTTTTAGGAAAAATATTTTTAGTTAATTTACATGATAATAGTTTTATTAATATTGGTTTGCATTATTTTCAATGTCAGTTTTGATAAGGCACTCCTGTAACTAATATCAGAAGTTGTGATGTAAGTAAAGTGCATTCTATATTATTCCATCATATTGTGATGACATTTAGATAATTTAAAGTAAAAATATGGAGAGGTGTCATAACATACAGAGGCAATTATTCCATTAATGAGCATTGGTTATGGTTCATTTGGAACCTTTTCTTATGTATTGTTTAAATATATCGATAACGCATGTTCATATATAAAAGAACAAAAACAAAAAGATCTTGGGTTAGGTCAATTGTAAGGATACTTTCTTAGTGAAATGTGAATTTAAGTAATATGAAACTTAAAATGTTAACTCTGTTGTCAAGCATGGTGTTGTCATTGGAGTTATATATTAACAGCCAACAGTTCTTTTTTCGATGGCATCTGTGTTATCAATCTTCAATAATAATTTTAAAAAAAAAAAATTATCTTTGAGAATTTTAGAGATTAAAGTCTTTGCTATAGAATAGCAATAATAGGTTGTGTTATTATCAGACTTTAGTAAAGTACCTGTAACTCAGTGGTTGTCGTTGGAAGCTGTCTATCATTTCTGATTTTTCCTTTACCATGTTTACTGTTTTGTACTTAATCCAGGCCGTTGGTTTTGTCGTTTGAAGTGGTTCACATTTGGTCATTTCAGTGCCTTTTATAGTTTACTATACAATATGGTTTTTGCTCATTTTTGAAGGCCATGCGGTGACCTATAGGTGCTTACATTTACTTAATTTGTTCTCTGGTTGACTGTTATCTCATTGGCAACCATACATACTAGATCTTCTTATCTTTATTTTGTCTTGCATTTCGATAGTGCAATATAGGTATAACTGATGAATTATAAAGCCAGTTATTTTGTTATGGCAAGTTGATTTTACTAATTTGTTTCAATTATGCAATGGTTATTTTTTAAATTTTAGTTAACGAGAAATTTGATTTTTAGCGGGTATGTGTATTTTTTTTTTACAGAAAAACCATCCTAAATGTTTCATTTACTATTTAACTTGATGATAATTTGTTTTATCGTTCTATGAATGGAAATCAAGAACAACTTTCAAATACTACTACTGCATGTACTGTGGTGAGGAGTATAATGAAGCGCATGTTATACTTGGTCACACAGCAATAAAACACCATTATAGTTTCCTTTCCATCAGTTAGCAGCGCTTTAAAAAATGAAAAATACGGATCTCTATCTAGACATTACAATTACCAATGTATATCTATGGAACTCTGCGAAAGACATGAATTAAATACAAGAGGAGTACGCTATTGCATACACATTTTTTCTTATTATTATTTCAAAAGGATCATATTAAAGCTTATAGATTATTTATTTCATTGTTTATTATATATTCCATTCAATTCATTTTTTTTTGTCAATAGGAAATAGTACAGGGGCGGATTAAGTGTATTTTTTTGGGGGGGGGGGAGGGGGCTGGACCAAGGCCTCTCTTATAAGAATATTTGTGGTATATTGCATTTTACTGAATTTATAAATTCTGTCCCTTTGTTTTCGTAACCCTATTTTTAAAACTCTAGGTTTCGCCACTGTAATATATATATAAATCCTAAATTAGTATTTACTGTATAATATATTGTAGCATGAAATGATATTCCAAAGATTATGAGTCCCCTGTTCTCAGTTCTAAAGACAGTTTTACAAAGAGTCCAGTTATTTCTAATATATCTTAATACTGCAAGCTTAGGTTATGGTAAAATGATATCAGAACAGAAAATTATCATTAATTAAAAGGGTTAAATTTGATCAACATAGTAATATGTTTTGTTACTTATTAGGAATATAAAATATTGCCCTTCGCTAAATTACAGTTAGAAAATAGAAAAGCTAGTTTTTAAGCCCAAGAATGCCTTTTTCCTTATTCACATTTTCTTTGAAAAAACCCGGACCATTTGTTTAAAAACCCGGACATTTTAAATGTAGCTCTCGAAAAAACATGGACAATGTTAACCACTGAATTGTTAGTGAACTACAAGGAAATTGTGCGTCGTTTGTGCTCAAAACATGTTTAGTATTCAGAATAAGATGAACAGTCATAAATAAAACTTTTAAGCGAAATAGCAGTAAAAAACACGATCTCCGCCAGACACTTTACCTACTGTGATAAACACGTGACATTGCTGCACTGATAAGTGACGTAATTGCCTAATATTTTCGAGTATCAATTCCTGTCCATAATCTTAACAAATATTAGGCAGTAAGATCAAAGGAAAATTGTACAAATTGCCGATAAAGATATATTAGTAGTACTTCTGATTACATTGTAATGTTATTAATACATGTAGAGTTTGAAAGTCAGTTGGACATTTAATTTACTTGGTCTCATTTTTTGGTTTCTGTCTGAAGAGCTGACTGATAGAAATAACAGTAATCATACTATATATGTGTGTGTGTGTTTTCACGCTTTGTGTAAAATATCGATTACTGTACTAAGGATAATATCCAATATATATACATATATAGTACCTTTGGTCATATATTTATGTTATCTAAAGTTTATGAATCTATAGTTTTGGTCTCTGGTTTAGATTTGTATCATTTGCAATCATATCACGTCTCTTTTTTTTCCATGAAAGTAATTTGGTCATTTAATTTACTTGATCTAGCTGAAATGGCCAAAAGTGTCAATGTAAACTTTGGTCATCACTAATTGTACTTTGTTATTTGTGTCATATCTCATGAAACAACACTGATGATGATCGGATATGATGATAGATTCTGACTGAACGCTTTTATTTATTTTCCTATGAAGCCAGCAATCCAGATGGCTATTAATTGTATACGATTGATAAAAAGAAAATATACAAAGCATTGGCAATTATATGACATCTTATTATAATGGAGCTTACTTTTAATGTAACCTTATGCATTGATCAAGTTTTTATCTGGTTGATCTACCATTGACCTAATTATCGCGATGGGACTTTTCATTAAACAAGGTATCAGTAATTTTTCTCTTTCATTGTATATAATGTCATATAAGAGGTACAGATGATTTTTTATGTTCTTTTTTACATACTTTTACATAACTATAGTCATGATTAATTTCAATTTCTTGCCATTATTTGAAATATTATACTGAAATTTGGCATATAACTGTAAGATTGTTATTGGTGATTTTTTTGGGATATCTCTGGAATTTTGTAATCACTGACCTTAATTTGGAAGGAAAAAAACATTTTCATTTAACTTCTAGTTTTGTTTATAAAGTTTGTGTCCTCTGACGTATCAACAGCAGATATTATAACAATTATTCACTTATCACAGCTGCAACATTACGTAAAGATGGAGTTTATATATAAACTGGCTGTTAGTATTAATAAGATGATGTGGTATGAGCGCAAATGAGACAACTATCCATCCAAGTCACAATGTGTAAAAAGTAAACAATTATAGGTCAAAGTACGGCCTTCAACACAGAGCCTTGGTTCACACCGAACAGCATTCTATCAATGGCCTCAAAAAGACGTGTAAAACAATTCAAACAGGAAAACCAACGGTCTAATCTATATAAAAAACAAGAAACACTTATGAACCACACCAACAAAAGACAACCACTGAACAACAGGCTCCTGACTTAGAACAGGTGCATAAAAATGCAGCGGGTTTAAATGTTTTAACAGGCGCCAACATTCACCCTAACCTGAAACAGTGGTATAACATTACAACATAAAAAGACACACAATAAAATATCAATTCGACTATATTCCAGTTCTTTTGTTTAATGACACATTTAAAATAGGGTTGTATCTACCAAGGAACGTATTTTAAAAAAGGTACCAATAAGTTTTTATGGAAATTCTACATCATTCATGAGTAGGTACCGTGTACAGATGTCAACTGAAAATTTCCATTTATGGAGACACCAGTTTCATTCTGAATTTTTGTCGAACCAGCGACATTTATGTCTCGAAAGCGAGACATAGCGATCAACATCAGCGTTGGCGTCAACATTTAGGCTCAGTCAGTGGTAAAGTTTTTTTTAGACATTAATAACTTTGTCAAAAACTTGAACAAAAGCTTGTTTTAACCAAAATACAGTATCCATAGCAAAGTTTAAAAATATTTATTTTCATTTTCCGTATTTAACAGATAAATGGACTTAGTTTTTTTTACAGTTAACAAGTAGATACAGTCTGAGTTTAAAAGTTTTTCAGTCATCAATAACTTTGTCAAACCTTCATAGAATTTTATGAAAGGAGTAGGGTCATTAAGGCCCAGTTTTGGCCCAAAAAAAATGGTTCACAACTATTTCAAATTGGCACATAATGTTTGGAAATGCATAGAGTCAAGAAATATCAATGAAAAACGTTATACTTTTATCTCCTGACGTCACAATTACGTCATAATGTGTACCGTTTTCCTGAAAATGACGAAAAATACATAATTAATGCAATTATCAATCGTTATTTCCATTGTGGAAATATCGTGCACAGCAAAGAAACAACACAATAATTTAAGTTTTTTTATAATAATCGACATAGCCTCACCAAATATATAGTTGTTTCTTTGGTGTGCACATACTTTGCCAATCTAAAATATACTTAAAATTTGATGAAAAACAAGGAAAATCAAGAAATTTTACAAAATGTACAAATTTTGTTTTGGTTTGTTGCCATGGTAACTCGTTAAATGTAATATATGTTTTTATTTTCTGAATACCTTGTAGCTTAGT